TGTTTTTTTTTTTCAATTCATTTTCAGTTTTTTTTCTGATGAGACACAAAAATCACATAGCATTATAAAAAACCAAAAAAAAAAAAAAAATTAATAGAAACATATATTGGTGGAAAATAGAAATAATCATTGAGAGAAAACATAACACACAAACTGAATGAAACTGAGATTGTGTGTGGCTTGTGTGCGGTTGTCGATTGATGGTAAAATATGCGCGACGGCAGTAACGGTAACGATGATGACAACGTTACAAGCGTCATGCGACAATTAATAATTTTCTGTTTTTTTTAAATCACTATTCAAACAAATAAAAAAAAATAGTTTCATATTTTACGAATGACGGAAATATATAGAAACATTTTAACACAAGCGATTTAGGCTAAAGATTGAGATTAATGATAATAATTTGATGATGATGATGATGGTGATGATTGTTGTTTCGTTATCATAACCGTGATTTTTTTTAATGAAAAATTATTGTTCATTACCAGTGTTCTGATTAATTTGTAATGGATGACCTATTAAAAGAAATGATGATAAAAATAAAATTCAGAATTAGAATAAATAACCAAAAAAAAAATGTCAAAATTCTTTTCATTTTTTATTTCATTACTTACCAACAATGACAAAAGAAAAACAAGTTGAACAATATTATGTAATCATTTCAATCAAAAAAACGGATTACTAAGAATCCATGACTTTTATGGTAATTAATTTAAGTTTAATGTCGCCCACTTGATGATTTTTTCTTTCGAAAACAAAACAAAAATTCTGCTAACCAGATATTACTTTTTCAAATATATCTTTGTTGTTGTTGTTGATGATGATGATTATGACAAGAATTTTGATTGTTTATACCGATCGAATGATGAAAATTTTAAGGCATCATTTTTTACATAATTTATTGATGTGAAACAAAACAAACAAACAAAAAATTGCACCAAACAATGTCGAAAGATTTTTAAAGATTGCACGTTTATTCTTCTTTTTTTTTCAATAATTTGTAATCTATAAATATAAATATGATTAGAAATAATTACAAATATTTAAAAATATCAATAGATTTTTTTGTTGTTGTTTACCTTTACATTTTTCTTTTTATAGACAAAAACAAACAAATAAAAACATACAACAACACATATGGACTAAAAAAAAATTATATACAAATACAAGAATGACACGATAATATTGACGAGTCGGTTATTTTTCTGCAATTTCGGGTTATTTCGTTGATCTTGACGACGACGACAACAACGATAACGATGACGATCAGGTAATCACTTTGTATATTTATTTATTGATTTGAGTGAAAAAAAAGAGAAAAAAAAACAACACATTAAAGAATGTTATATGATTGATTAAATGGATTAAGATTTGATTTTATCAGTTTGAAATGATTCACATCAAAAAAAAAAAATCATCCATTTCATCATGAATATTATTGCAAAATATTCTTTCAAATTGCAATAACAACATGTATATAAACAAACAAACAAACACAAACACATAACATACACACACACATAAATACCGTCGTGTTTTCTTTAGTTTTTCGGGTTCATTCCGCTGATGATGATGATGATGATGATCCTTGATTGTCAAGATATATACAACAAAATATATACCATATACCATACATACACATATATACCGTATATATACACTGACGTAGGTGTTTTTTATTTTATTTTTTTTTTTGTTTCTTTGGTCTCTCGGTAGCCGAAATGTGTATATATAACAGCAAAAAATAAACTGTACCAATGGTGAATGGTTTGCCAAACGAAAGAAAGAAAAAAAGATTGAGATTTAGATAGAGTGAGAGACATATGCATTTAAAAAAAAAAACCATAGAGAAAGCGAGAGAGAGAGAGAGATTTTAGAAGCCAGAAAGATATATTGCTTTTGGCTTGATGGAAAACAAAACTAGATAGATAGTCTAATAGTCAGTCTCTTTTCATTTGAATTTTTTTTTTTTTGATTTCATCTTTGGTTTTGGTGTGTTTGGCTGCTTTTTTATCATTTCTTCTTTTTTTTCTTTAAAAAACAAATTCCTATTTTATTGGGAAATTTATTTTTTTTTTATTTTGCTCACAAAATAATAAAATAAATTTCAAATTTTTTTATTATAAAATGTAAAAAAAAAATTTGTGGCTAAATGATATTTTCGATTGATGCGCCGATATTGAATGAATATTTTTTGTTGTTGTTATTGAAGAAAATGATTGCTGTTGACCTTCAATGAATGGCTGGAAATCATTTTACTTGACAAAACGGTAAATATGATTTTCCATACTTTTCTCTCAATCAAAAAATTGATTGAGAGGTTTTTTTTCTTGAACAAAAATGTCAATAATGATTATTGCTTTCGATTATCATCAATAGTTGTCGAATGTTGAAAAGGGTCGTATCTTGAGAAGAAAAAAAATTTCAATCGATTGATTCCAACTAAATTTTATAATGGCAAAAGTTTCTCATTTTCTTTTCTTTATTTTACAATGGAACATTAGAATTTCGAATGCACAACAACAAAAAAAAGAATGAATAAATGAATGGGATAATATCATCTTGAATGTGATGAACACATACAATTTTTTTTACTTTCGAAATTTGTCTCCAAAATTCGTAAATTTTTTTTTTGTTGCCTCGATCCAATCTATTCATTCATCGTCTCTCCACATTTTTTTTTTTTGCTGTTGTTTGTTTCTCTCACATTCCTTATTTAGGTTATTTACATGCTTATGATGTTTGAATCGAATGTTTTTTTGTTGTTGTTGTTGTTGTTGATGTTCATTTATGTTAGCCGATTATTTTAACGGTAATGATTATTTGACAAATAAATGTTTTTTTTTTTGAAAAAAATAACAAAATTAAGATATAATGGTCAATCCTCAATATAAAACATAAAAACAGTTATTTTGTTTCGAAACTTTTGCGAAATCAAATTAAGCACACACAAAAAAAATCCCGTTATTATTATTATTATTATTATTATCTTTTTTCCTCTTTTTCACAAGATCATTAATATTTCAGAATGGATTTACCTTGATTATCATGTTAAAAATTTTTTTCCCGTTTTTTTTCTCTTTTATTCAAATTTGAATTTATTTACCATGGCATCTTTGGATTTTTGTTGTTGTTTTTGATGATGTCGATGATGATGATGAGGATGAGGATGAGTATCGAAATCGTAATTCTAATCGAAAACAAATAACAACATTGAATAATTAGGTAGCGGTATATATTGAACATAAGATAACAAAGAATATTCATATTCTAAACACTATTTTCCATACTACTACTACTATTTTTTATTTGTATTCTTCTCAACTGAATCTACCACTTCTATTACGATTATTATTCGAGCAATTCGAATTTTTTTCACATTTTCTTATGATCGATTGATGATCACTTTCTTTAACATTTTACCGGATTCGAATAACCGAATATTATTTTCATAGTAGTAGAAGTAGTGAAATTAGTAACAATTCTTAAAATTCTTTACTACTACTACTATTTTCTACAGATTGTTGAATGTTGTTGTTTTCATTTTTCGAATTTCATCATTGGATCGATTATAATGAAGGTGGATGGATTTGGCGCGAATATTTTTTGTGCAACAAAAAAGCATTGATTTTTTTTTGAATCCAAATCTAATAACAATAAAGTATGTGTCAAAATGTTTGTTGTTTTCCAAATGATTATCATCACAAGAAGTAATAAAATCCAGACAAATTTTGTTTCGGTAGCGGGTGGAGAAAGTAAAAACAATATCCAATTTCCATTTATCTAATTTGATAATTTAAAGTTGTAAGTGATCACAATTAAATAAGTAATTTTTTTCTATATTATCATTTTTTCTTTTGTCACACAGTTATCTGTTTTGTTTGTTTAACGATTGGAAAAAAACAGACAAACAACAAGAAATCCATATTATCATTGATTTTCAACAAAAGAAAACTAGATCGTTATAATTAAAATGACAAATTTTTTCCCCATTTAAAAAAATTATTTCCCATTATCATTTTTAACGTCAACGTAATCATTAGGTTAAGTTTATTTATTTTGACAATCAAACACATCGAATCTAATCCACTATTTCTTTTAAATCAGGTAATTCCTATACATAAATAATTTCTGTTAATTCAAATTGTCACGTTATTTTTTTTTCTTGTTTAGTTTGTCTGATCTTGGTTATTATTCATCATAATAACAATCTCTATAATGATAATAATTTTTGAAAGAAAACGTACCAAAAGATATCTAATTGTAGTTGTTATTAACAAGAAAAAAAAATGAAAAATATTTGTAATCAAACTAATTGATCAAATTTTTCCTATCCATCAAATATTGAATTTTTTTTTGTTTCGAAAATAAACAAGGTGAAAAAATTTTTTCAACAAATTATCAATTAAACAAAGTGGAAAAAACAAGTAAATTTTCACGTATTGACAATATTCGTACATTTAATTTGATTAAAATGATCAGAAGGGGAAAGAAAATTTTCACAATTTTTTTTTTTTGTTTAAAATTTTGGCACATTTCTTCATTATTTTCACTGGAAAAAAGAAAACTTTGACACATTGAATAATAATCGGAAAAAAAAGATTGAAAGGAAGTTGACAGAAAGTGAAAAGATTCAATTTGCAATGGAATAGATGACAAATACAGTTGTTGTTGTTTTGTTTACTAAAAAAAAAAAAAATTAAATTGAAAAAAATTTTAAAATTTTGAAGAAAAAAAAATGTAAAACGTAGGTGGTGTTTATTGGTACTAAATTTGGTGCTGAAGAAATGACGAAAGAACGAAAAAAAAACAATGATATTTGATGGTCGTAGGCGTATGATTTTTTTTTATTCTTCTGGTTTTTTTTTAATTTTTGGATGGAAGGGTTATATTCCAAATGTTTAAACAGAGAAAAAAAATAATTCGCAATTCAAAAAAAAAGAAGAAAAAAATTAAATAACGAAATAATTAACAAGTGACAAGTGTATGTGTAAATGAATGAATCATGCAATGAAATGATTGTGTGTCTTAATATCCGGTGGTGATACAGGATTTTTTTCATTTTTGTCCCTTTTTTGTTGTTGATGACAAAAAAAAAAGTTTTTTTTTTTAAATTCAAGACAAACAAAAAATTGAATAAAATTGGAAATTCAAATAGAAGATGGCGCCTATTTTCTTGTTTTTTTTTAAGCCATTTTTGTTTTTTTTAATCAGATAAACGTTTTATTGCTGAATAAACATTTGTTGATCAATGTTTTAAACCAGGTTGATTAATTTTGATGGAATTTCTTTCATTTTTTTTTTGTTGAATGTTAATCTTTTTTTTTTTTTTTTTGGTTTCAAATTGAATTCAACTTTTTGACATTCGTATCCATACGAATAATGCTAATACAACGACAATAACAGCGATCGGTATAAGTATACCGATCATCCACCAACTAAGCTGTCCCGGACAATTATATTCATCAATATCATTACCACAATTATTATAACCATCACATTGTAATGATGATTCAATACAACGGCCATTATTACAATCATAATTTTCATCGCAATATAAATCTTTTTCTGTTTGTATGTCAAAAAAAAATGTTGAAACAAAACGTAAATATTAAATTAGTAATCTGATAATTGATATATTTTTTGTTTACCTTGATAAAGTGTAATGGCTAAATCAAAACCAGCATCAAACGGTGAAACACCTGAATCTGGTTTATATTCAATAATGATTGCAGATGGATTGGTACGATCAACTAATGTAACTACCTCTTTATATCTGGATCCTTCACGTGTTTCATTATTCCATATTTGTGGACGAGGATTACTAGCCGAACGAAATGTAATAACATCATGTTCATTCAATGCTGCTTTACGAAATGTTAATATTAGACCGGTACCGGCTGGACTTGATACAATCAATCGACATTGATAATTTTCAGGTACATTTACTCCTTGTATAATATTTGCACCAATATTTAAAAATGATGTCCATTCTGGTTCAGTTAGATTCAATGCAATTGTATGATATTCATAATGATTATCATTCAATATTTTTGTATCCATATTCTGATCACAGTAATGTGGTATTAAATCTTTATTTTAAAAAAAATAAAATAAAATCATTTTTCATAATAACCAAAAATATTATTTAAAAAAATCAATCGAATCAACTTACTTGAAATTTTTACCACATCAACTGATGATAATAAAAAATTAATGATTATGATCAAAATCATTAATACAATATTTGACAATTGAATGATTTTTTGTTTATACATTTTTTTTTGTTTTGACTTGCTGTTGTTCAATACAAAATCAGAATTCTGATTACTTGTCGGATGATGATGATGATGATGATATTCTTAATTAATCAAATCTTTCTTTTATGTAAATAAAAAAAACAATTAATTATCATTTCCGCAAAGAAAAAACAAAAGAAAAATTCTCAACCACACACACACACACAGACGATTATAAAATCATAAATATCAATTTAAAATTTAAATTTTAAAAAATTTCTTTAAAAAAAAATCAACGAAACATCAATGTTTCTCGAAAAGAAAAAGAATATATTGACTTGATATGAACTGGCTGCTATGAATGACTAGTTTTTTTTATATTTTCAAGAAAAACTAATAAAAATTACGGTAAATTTCTATTCTGCCAAATTTTTTGGTTTTCTTGTAAATGGAAAATGTGAGCAAAATAAAGAAAAGATTTCTGTAAAGAAAATGAAATTATTTTATCACAAAGATGATGGTATTAAACAAATGGAAAATTTACGATTAAACATAGAGACGGGAAAATAAAGAGATTTGAAATCACCGAACACACACACACACTTACGAAACAAATATACAAAACAAAGATGGATTGAACAAAAATTTTGGCTTGAATCCATGGTGATGCCGATGATGATGATGATGATGAACAGTGTGAAACATATTTATTTTGTTGATCTCTTTCTTTCTTTACATCAATTTATCAGAAAGAATTGAACATTTCTTATTGAGTTTTATTTTTCTTTTCTCGAGAAAAAACACAAACTTGCATTTAAATCAAAGAATAAATTGATGATAGAAAAAAGTGGTTAAAGAAGAAGAAGAAATCTATGAAATTTTCTTATTCAAATTTTTTATTTATTATGATTATCATAATATTTATCTGAAGCTTTTTCTCAAATTTTATAGCAAATGAATGAATATAAAAAAAGTTGATGTGGTTATAAAAATACGTAAAATTCAATCAACAATCATTATTATATTTGGTTTGAATAACGATATGGATTCTCTAACGACGATGATGACGATCACTACCAAATGAAATGATGATGATCTATGTTTACTTTGATTAATATTTATTCGGTTTTATATCCTGGTCCTTTCTTTTTTTTCATATATTCTCATTTGCGTGTATTGGATTTTCTTTCTTCCTTTTTTTTTTCGTTGTATGGACCATTCGTATTGTACTTGCGCGAAACTTTAAATTCAATTTTTTTTCTCGCCTCTTTTTTTATGATTCTGTATTCTGATGTTTTTTTTTGTTGCGATTCTGTATCCTGTGTTGTTTGTTGTTGGATTGTAATGATAAAATGTTTTGCATTTTTTGTTGTTGTTGTTGTTAAATTTTAATTGAATAAACCATAATAGATTTTACAACCTGTGTGTATCATCATCATCATCATTTTATATTATGATAAATGCTTTTATTAACAACAATAACAACAATAAAATTGAGATAAAAATAGAAAATTATTTGAATAAACAATATATTGAATATTGAAGTATTCGATACACACACTTACACAGAGAAAATTCATCAATGATAATCAATTCGAAACTTTTTTTTTCCAATTCCAAAATTTCCTCCCCTCAGTGACATTCATTTGTCGATGAATTTTATTTTACATCAATAAAAAGTTTGATTTCGATTGTAAAAAGATTTCCGAAAAAAAATCAATTTATTTTCCAATCAATTGCTTGATTATTATTGTTTGATCATAATCATTGATATATTTAAAATCAATCTTTCAATTGCTAAATATCATGCCTCCTAAATCTGATGTATAATCGACCAAACACAAACGAGAAAAAAAAAGTTATGGTACAATTTTCGGGAAAACTGTTTACAAAACAAACCCTATACTACATATTTTATTCAATTGAATTGAAACTATTACGAAACATAAAAATAAACACAAAAAAAAAATCTTGAAAATGGTATTATTGAATTGAAATATACAAAAACAAATTTGCATTTCCTAATGGAATCTAATTTATTTTCAATTAATCCTAATTGTGTGTATAAATGGCTATTTGAAATTTTAGTGTGTGTAACTGTTGTTGTTGTTCGTTTAATTCGATCACCAATCATTTCATGCACCCACATACACACACGCATACACTGAACTTGAATGATCCATTGCAAAGAGAAAAGAAAAATCAATCAATCAACAACCTTGAATTATTCTTCTTTTGATTTGAATTGAATCAATAGTATGTAGGAAAAAAAACATTTATATAAAATCTAGATCAATAAATGAAAATTGACAATAAAATGGATGCTATTAATAACCAAAACAACAACAACAACAACAACAACCAAAAAAGAATTAACTGTAAATCATCTATAGATGCCATATCTCTCAAGGACAACATTTTTGCTTTGTTTTGTTTTTGTCCGAATCATAATTCATACAAAAAAGCAGTGTCGAATATTAGTTTCCATTGAATTGAATTTTTTTTGTTTGATATGGTTTCATTACGTCATTTATTTTCCAAAAAATAATGGTATACATTAAATAATTTCATTGACGTGATGAATTTGAAAAACATTGAAAACTAAAATGATGATGAATGATTATGATTGAGTATCCAAAATGTAATTTTGTATCTAAACATCATCATTGAAGATGACAACGATAAAGTCGATGACAACAAGAATCATTAAATTTAGTGGTGGTTAGGGGGGCTAGATATTTTTTCTCAATTTGACCATTTAAATTAAAAAAAAATATGATGATGATCAACCAGTTTGTTTAACCAAAAAAGATAGAGAGGAAAATTTTCCATTCATTTGGTTAGCAAAAAAAAAGAACAAGTACATTTTCATTACTGATTTTTCGTACACATCCATTTATTACATTAAAATGTTGTTTGTTTTTTTTTGTTGTATTGAGAATCAAGAAAAAATTCTTCAAATTATTTCAACAACAAATGTTATGATCCATGATATAATAAAATATGTTAATCTATTTAATATATATAGAATTTGATAACTATTGAACAAGATCAATTGATTGAAAAGAGATCGTGAGATAATAAAAACCAGAAACAAAAACAAAACAAAATTTCATTATCACACGAATTTGTTCATTTGTTTGTCTGTTTCAGTTTGTTTGCGTGTTTTTTTCCTGTATGGTTCATTTGTCCGAACAAAATCATTTGTAATGATTTACTGAATTTCATTACGAATGCGTAGCGTTGCATAAATCAATCAAAAAAAAAAAGAAAAATAATAATAATTTTTGATCATCAAATCAATGTGTTTTCATTCATTCTATTTGTATGTTGTTGTTTTTTAGTTCTTCTTCTCACAAATAAAATACATCCAAAATTAGAGAATAAACACAATGACTAGAGGGAATATATTGAAATTGTAAATAGACAAGCTCTCTTAAAACAAACAAACAAAACGAAACGGAATTGACTTGATCATAAATTCTGAATGAGAAATTCTGAATAGAAATTTGCACCATTTTGTTGTTGTGTTTCGTGACTGAAACAAAAACCCTTTTTTTCCAATTCAATTCAACGATTGCATCCCAAAATACAATCATCGAATCTGAATAAATATTTAGAAATAAATAATAATAATAATAATAATAATTTGAGACAGAAAGAAAATCAAATAATTTCTTCATCAATTTTTTTTTCGTTCCTTTGTTCTTCGCATTTATAATTGAAATTTATTTGAAATTGTAATGAACTTCTTTTCCAGCCGTAACATCATGCATCATGTTTCATTGCAAAAGCAATGAAACAAAATTGAAAAAAATGTACATCATCATCAAAGAATATATGGCCATCATATTAATCAACAAGAAAAAAAAATCACGAGATGTTTTGTACCTTTTTTTTTGTTGTTGCCATTCATTCCAATGGTTCAATTTTTTTTTCTGTAAAATTCGTCGATGATGATCATGATCAATGATTATTGGCTTTATATTACATACATGACACACAGCACATACACATACTAAAATATTAACAAGTTTGGTTTGTTTCATTTGTTGGAACAAGTTTTTCTTCCATACATTTCTTCATCAATTTCTGACAAAAAAAAAATTTAAAAATAATTATGTAGTGAATCAATGGATACAGATTTAACATAATTTTGTTTTTTACTTTTTTGGAAAGAAAAGATGATGATGGTTAAATGCCTTTGATGATTATTAGTTAAATTTTATCAATATCATGCGTAAATCACGTTCTAATTCAGGATCTTACAAGTGATTGAAAGAGATTATCTGAGAAGAAATTCAGGTTTTTTCCTCTTATTTATCATGTATATCTTTCCGAATGGATCATGTAGATGTTTGACAAACTTGTTTGTATTCGAAGGAAATCGACTTTGATTGAAATAAATAAATAAAGTTTGTCATTTAGTCAATCTGATCTGGCAACCACTACCTAGCCTTAATAATAATAATAATAATTTTTTGCTATCTTTCTTCTCTCGTTATTTTTTCGTTTCGATAAATTCAAATATAAAAATTTGCCACACATTCATTCGATATTTCATTTGTTGGCAAGAATCTGATTTGAGATAATTATTTTCATACAAAACAAAATATTTCTTTTTTTTTGCAAAGTTTTTACCAAGTGTTTGAAACAAAACAAAAAAAAAGCTGAAATTTATCACAAAGTTTTTCGTTTTTCTAAATTCTTCGTATACATAATTGAATTTTATTTTATTTTTTTCGTCTATATTTTGTATTATGTTCAAGTTATTCTAATGTGTCCGGAAATCGGAATACCATTATTTAACAACAAAAAATATCATTATCAATTGGCAACAAGTTTGGTAATATTAGAAGTAAATATTGAAAATATTTCATCACAATTGGGTAGTCGTTTGGCTAATTGTGGTAATAAGCTGGAATTACGTGTATTAACACAATTACATCACGTTCATTGATTTGTCTGAAAAAAAGAGAAGAAAATCCCTTAAAAATTGGACATCTAGGTAATTATTATTAACCAAACTAAATGTAAGTCATTCGATATAAAACTATTTGATTTTAATTTCACTTTTGATTTTTATCCAATTAGCTTTGCCAATTATCATCAGCATCAAAAAAATTATTAAATTCGAAATAACATTTTCAAGAAAAAATTTAACATTTTTACATATTGTTTATCATCAGTAAAAAAAAAGAAATAATCGGATCAAAATGTCGAAAACTAATTTCGTATCAAATAACGATGCAAACAAGTTAGTTTTCATATTTCCTTAATTATCAAATTCTCTATTTTAATTAATTAATTTTTCATTGACCTACAATAGACAAGACGCTTATGTCTCAAAATGGTCTAAAATGGCTGGAAAAAATGATCAAGCCAGTCATAAGGAACAGAATAAGGATTGGTTTCGACAACGTAAACCAAATGGTAATGAAAATGAATGGGGACCAATGTTCAAGAATAAGGCACATTTTACCGATATGCATTTTTGTTGAACATCAAAATTGAACGAATCATTATCATCATCATTTGGCCAAACAAAAAAACATTACTAATTACAATTTTTTATAAAACTACTACTAACCAATATAAAACAAAACAAAACAAAAATACACACCAATTCAATAATCATGCTAAAGTTAAAATCAAATCATTTATTTTTCAATCTTAAAAATTCTGAACATTTCTATTATCTAACAAAAAAAAGAGGAATTTTATTCCTACAATGTTTTTTACTAACAATCAATAAATGATTATCCATTGAAAAAATATGCAAAATCTTAATCAAGAAAGAAAAAAAACTTTTTTCAATATTGAATTAATGAATTCCATATGATTTACATAGAAATATGGTTCTCATTTAAGTTTTCATAGGATTTTTTTCTTTCTTTCCTCAAAAGTCCAACCCTTATATTTAATATGATTTGATGACAAACTTGTCTGTTACTCCCTTATTTTTTTTAAATATCTGTATATCGTCACCATGTGTTTACATATATGAATTCAATTTAAATTCGAACAACAATTTTCCAATTACACCAGTATATCTGGAACAAACAAACCACTTCATTCATTCATTCATTCATTGTATGTGATCACGATTGAAGTTCATTGGAAAGTATTTTTTATTTGGTTAATTTCAAGTACCATATATACTTGTGCGTATGTGTGTGTGTTATGATTGTATATCCCGTGACAAATTCAAGGGTGATAATGGTGTTAATAGTTGAATGAGAATCAGCCTCGCCTTGTTTTTGAAAAAAAAATATTCTCAACAACCAAACCAAACCGAACCGGGTTGAACTGAACTGAACTGAACCGAACGAATTCTTATGATGATAGAATATTATGATCATCATCATCAATTGTAGATAACTGTGTTTTTATTAATGGTAGTAGTAGTAGTAGTTGAATTTTATTTCAAAAAAAAAGATAACTGTCGAATTTATTATATAGTAGTAGTAGTTAGACCTAGGGTCTTTATATGTGATGGTCAGGTCAGGTCATAGGGTAAAACTGTATTTGTTCCATCAACTACCAGCTACCAACTACCACCACCACCACCATAACGATAACGATCAACACACTACCATTTTATCATAATATTTTTTTTTCTTCGGTGACCGCCTTTGCAGATGTATGAACCCCTCGAATATTGAATTGAATGAATAAATTTTGTCGCTGTTGTTTATGATGATGTTGTTGATGTTGTAATATGATTTTTTGAACATCATTTTTGTTTGTTGGAACTACAAAAGGGGAAAAAGAAAACAATATTCATTATCATCTAATAAGTGTTTTTTTATGTAATTTATTATTGTTGTTGTTGTTTTCTTTCACTTGTTCATCTTCATCATCATCATTATTCATTAGTGAAGAATTCATCAATTCTTTGAAAACATCGATCAATCTTACTACATGATCAACAACCATTTCTAACTAATAATTAATCTTAGTGTGTTAACCAAATAAAAAAAAATTCTAAGAATTTTTAATCTATCATAATTCTATCTGTTCGTGTCTCTTAACAATTTCTTGTTGTTTGTATTGATTCTATAACAACAACAACAATTCTATTCTGTACAACATTAATTTTTTTTTCTTGTTGTTTATTTGGATTTTTTTCTTCTTCTTCTTCTTCTCTGTTGTGAAAGAATGAGAAACAGAATATTATTTGAACAACAACAACAACAACAAAACCGAACAAAATTTATCCCATAATTAAGTAGACATGATAAACAATAATTTTTTTTTTGTTGTTGGTTATATAAATAGATAAAAAATAAGAGGTAAGTGTATTAATAGATAGATTGATGAATATTTTAGTTGTTGTTGTTGTTTTTTGATTATTGTCAACAACAACAACAAATCGATCAACAAATTAATCTCAAATATTCTTTTTTTCATTCTTCATTATTATTATTCTGTAAGAAAGAGAATAAAAAAGTCATTGAAACATATATTTGGAATTTGAAATTCTGATTACCTAAAGCAAAAAACAAAAACAAAACGTTAGATAAAACGAGAACCAAAACTAAATTAAATTTTTGCTTGGACTTATCATTAGGGGAAAAAAAAGATTTCTTTCTCGTTTTTTTTCATTGCTATTATTATTCCATTTGTTTCCAAATGACGAAAAACAGTTTCTCTTTTTTTTTATAATCAAAGTGAAACAGAAATGAATAAATAAATAAATAAATATGGTCGAATCTAAAAGTAAAACAAATACTGAAAGAATAATGAATAAATGATTCTTATAAGAATCTTAGAATTCATAATCATTATTATTGTCTACATCTTTATTATATTTAAATAATACATCACCTAGACAATAACAAAGAAAATAAGAAAAATATAAAGTAGATATCCATGCCATAATATCTATGGAAATTCACACACCCACACAAGAACATCGCATGCACAAAATGATGATGTCAAAGTTCGGTCTGAGTCATCTCTTTCTCTCACTATAATCTTTTGCAACAATCATTATGCATGTGCGATAGCGATAAGTTGAAGAATTTTTTTTTCTCTCACTAATATCGTATCGTTGTTCCTGTATTTCGAATGATAATAACATTCAACAATGAAGAGATGCTTTTTGTTATTCTGGTCAGGCAGAAATAAAAATAAAGTATGGCGTCGGCGCCATATAGATCATAGATAGAATGTGTGTGTGCTCTATCTTTCGATATAACAAAACCGCGAAACGGAATAAACCGACCCTGGAAGTCTTTTTTCGATTCGGTTCTGTTCAATTCAATTCACAGTTCAGTTTAGTTTAGTTCGGTTTAATTTGGTTTGTTTGGATATGATGGGCGTACGGGTTTTTTCTTTGCACATGCTATATCTCATCCATCCATTTATACATCAAAAAAAAAATCTATATTGAAAAATTTGTCGCCCTTTTTTCATCCAGGAATCTATTTCTTTGGTTAATGCTGCTTATACTTCATTATTATGTCTATAGCATCTTTTTTTTCTTCGCCTGTTTCATTAGCAGGCGGAAAAAATGGATGTATAGGGAGCAAAAAAACGAACTTGCTTAAATTACGTTGTGTTTATAGAGAAAAAAAAACCGAGAATCCACTGACTCATTAAAAAAACAAAACAAACGAAAAAAATTCTAAGCAATCAACAGTAAAAGATATCAATTATAAAACATTTTTTAATCCAGTTTTTTATCTGTTGGTCAATTGGCCATTTTTTTTCGATGATTATATCAACGATTCATGGCAAGGCGCATTTGAAATTTGGTTTTTTTTTCTCATTTGAAACATCAAAATTAACATTATCACCAAACTAATCATGTGTTGACATTTGATTTTTAAAAATTACATAATAATTTTCTTTCTTTTTTTTCACTCCTCATTCTTTGATGATTTCGTATACTTGTGATTGAGTGTTTCATTTTAACTGGTAAGAAAATTTTTCGCAATTGAAATTCAATAATGAATGACGACATTAAAGTTGGATAATTCTGTGTAGGATTAGGCTTAAAAAAATGTTTTACAATTTCTATGGAAAAATATTTTCTTCTAACAAGAGGGGGGAAGTAATATCTTTTCATGTTCAGATGTGTGTTTGACATGTGTGTGTTTGATCAAGATGGAAAAGAGTTTTTGTGTTTTATTCTTTTCCTTTCGATTCTGTTATTATTTTGCGTGTATGTTTGTGTCATGTGTTCATATGGATTGTCAACAAAAAAATATTATTATTTGTTCATTTGTCAAATTAAACTAATATTTTATCGATTGTAGAATGATCAATTTGATCGATAATATGATTAATTGTTATTTTTTTTAATATTTTTACCTATGTAGGTTGATCATCATCATCATCATCATATTTCTGCATAAGAATCTAGACTACAAAGAATAATATTCCATATTAACAATAGCAACAACAATAAGCTGGCAAACAAAAATTTTTCTTTTTATAATTCACCAAATAAATAATATTAAAAAAAAGTATTTTATTTTTCATTTGAAAATACTCGGAAAAAAACGATTCATTTCCAAAAATGTTGATCTGTACCAAATTGATCGTTATTCTATACAATTTTATTTTCTGGGTAAGTCAATTTTCATAACATTATTTTAGTTATTCTTGTTGATGAATGAATGATAATCATGATTTATTGTTATTGTTGTTGATTGAATTTTTTCATTTTCACAGCTTACCGGTGTATTTATTCTTGGCCTTTCCGCTTATCTATGGTGGGATTCACAGAATTATCTGGATATTCATGAAGTTAGCGCACATTATGTTACACCATTTATTGCTATGCTTATACTTGGTGGTATGATAACCATTATTGGTTTTCTTGGCTGTTGTGGAGCTATTCGTGAATCTAAATGTCTTTTGCTTATGGTTTGTTTGAATCAATTAATCTATGAATAATGATTAATATTAAATAATTCATTCTTTTAACAGTATATTTCGATCTGTTTGATATTATGTGTATTGAGCGGTGCATTTCTATTTTGGACCATACGAAATGGTGAAAAAGTACGTGAACGAATTCGTTTAGATACGACCAAATTGATTAAACGAAATTATGGAACTGGAAATACTAATGCTACCGAAATGTTAGTCGATCGTATACAACGATATTTTACCTGTTGTGGAATAATGGGACCTGAAGATTGGATTACATCCAATTATAATAATCAAACAAATGAAGAGAATTTCAATTCGATGAACAATTTGAAATATCCATCAGCAGGTCAACGAATGTATCGTATACCTAAATCATGTTGTCAAGATAATGAAGATCGTTATAATCTATGTATCGGTCGTGTAGAATATTTAAATGCTAATGACATTCAAAATCTTAAAGAAATAGTTGGCCTAAATAATGATGGATGTATGAATAAATTTGAAGATTTTATTCGACATAAACAATTATTTGTTATTATGGCTGGAGCTATTTTAGTCGGCGTTCAACTTCTTGCATTGATATTTTCATTTTGTCTATTCTGCGCTATATCTCGACAAGATGACAAATAAACATTTATCAACAACAATAACATCATTAAACAGAATATAATTGAAAAAAAATAAACCAATGTTTCCAATAAACAAGTTACCATGGAAAAAAATAATTAATAATTAATTCTAATGAAATGAAACAAAAACAAAAAACAAAAACAAAAACAAATTCCCATTCTGTAAATAACAGTCATTTCGTATGTATTCAATCTTCGTGACAATATTTCGAAATCCAAAATCATATCGATATATAAAATAACGAAAGAATACCTGGAAAAAAAACACCTCATCAGCTTGATCATCAAATACCGATACATTGAAAATTTCGATCTATTCATTAATTTCCTGTTTTTTTTCCTCTTCTCCTGTATAATAAACAAAACAACAACAAAAATTCATCGATTTTTGATCACATTAATTCACATTTTTTTCTGTTTTGATTTTTTTCCACTTGTTTTGAACCTAATTTATATCACATTTGATTTTGTGAATCTCATAAATACTCAATATTTTAACACCACGTTTTTTTTATACATATGAAAAGCGTTTTTGAACAAAAATTCCTATCCATTTGATCATTATATGACGACCGTTATTATTCATGAATCATCACTATGAAATATATTCTGACAAAAAAAAAAAAAAAAAAACATTTTTCACACATTTTCTATTACACATTGAACTTTTTTTTTGAAATTCACATCCATATTTAATTTTTTCCGATAATGAACGGATGAACAAATTGTTTTTTTTTTTGTTGAATTATTTTTCCTTATCCACTCCTTTTTTTCTGATTATATTGAAAAATTATGAATGAATATATGAAATACTAAATCACTTTCACACGCATAAACACTTTATCGATAAAATAAACTGCCAAGTTTTTTTTGTATATTACAAAAATGATGATTCTTTCGAATTGAAAAGGTATTTTTTCAAATGATTTTGTTGAATCATAAATTGGCTTGATTTTTCGAAAAAAAAGCGATATACAATCGATTTAGTTGTACATCACTTGACCACGTGATCATCTCTGTTCAACAATATGGTTTTTTTTAAATAATTTGCATCAGAATTAAACTATGGACAATCTGGAACAATTGAAACGAAAGTATAAGATACTATTTTATTGATCCTATATTATTCTCATTGTCATTTTATATTCCAAATTTAGAATATATTCGGTTCTTCAATCGTCCAGATCAGCCATCTCTGACGATGAGCTTCGTATGCGTATTGGCAATGCTGATGTTGCACTTCGATTAACTGCTTTGAACTCATTAATTAGTGAGAAAAAAATCAAAGCCATTGTTGTAAATAATGTTGCACATTTTGAATTGATTGTCGAAGAAAAAAGCCATGAAGATATTGTTTTAGATGTAATCAGAGAAGCGGACAAAAATGGTATTTGGATTCGGGATATTCGATCGAAAACAAAATTGGCCGAACTTGTTCTCAATAAAGTATTGAAGAGTTTGGAAAATAAAAAACTAATCAAATCAATAAAAGCTATTTCGAATAGAAAATTATATTTCCTTTTTGATCTTCAACCCGATGAAACGATAACTGGTGGTGCCTGCTATGATTCTGGTTCGATCAGGGAAGATGTTGTTAGAAATCTTAAAACTACATGTCTACAACATTTATATGACAAGTGCAAAAGTTCATTCGAAAAAGCAGTCTCCAAACTCGATGGAAACTATATGGATGATGGTGATTTTACTGATCAAGATTTTGATCCAGTTTATGCAAGCGCATCCGATATTTATAATGAATTCAAAGGTGCAAAACTATTTCATGATATAAAACTTGTCGATATTGAAAATATTCTTAATGTATTATGTTTTGAATGCAAAATTTTGAAAAAAACTATGGGTGAACGATCATTGTTTCGATATAATCCACTGAATCGAGATAAATCCGATTTATTCTATGCACCATGTATGATATGCCATCTATATAAAGATTGTAAGCCTGGATCTGTGCGTATTTCACCGGAAAATTGTCGATACATAAATTATGAATTATTTTGATGTATTTTTTTTCTAATTCAATTTATTCACATGAATAATAATAAAAAATTTTATAAGCTAAATTTTCTTGATAACTATTATTGGACAAAAATAAACAAGCATAGCTCATCTAATGGATAAAAATTTAGCCATGTAAATAATATTGTCTAGCAAACATATATGGAACTGAAACATTTTCAAAATCCCGTAGACTTTCTATTTCTGGATCAAAACTTTTAAAATAACCATTATTTTGCCATAGCAAAATAAATAAATAATCAATGAAATGAACAATAGAAAAAATTAATTGTCCAGATACACATGCATAGCAAAAATAATTTCACATCTCTCTTTTAATAAAAATATTTGAATTGGCCAAATGAAAAGAAAAACCTGTTTACGTTTTGTTTTTCCTTTTCATTATGATGTTTTGAACATCATTGTCGATCGTATTCGTCAATGATGTTCCAAAACAACATTCTCAAAAACAAGTGAACAAACACTATAAATGAGTGTTGAGCATATATAATTGATCGGAAAAGAAATTGAATGAGAAAATAAAAAAATAGAGAAAGTAAACTTGTACATGTCCCCGAACTTTTACTCGTCCGTTCTCTCTTCCTTTCAAATTAAGCTTTCTCTTACACTAACGATTGTTGCGTTTTATTTTAATATATTTTTGGTTTTCATCCTTAATAACAGTGAATCTTTTTTTATTTTAATAAACCGATTCATATTCGATTCTTTCGTTTTTTTTGTTGTTGTTTATATTGACCATGAAATCTACCACCAAGCTTACCATTATAGCTAAATCCACCAACACAAATTAAAATAAACCAAACAACAAATTTCCAAGTTTAAGTTGACATTACACACTTGTTGTTGTCACGCACAATCCCCACAAATTCCGTAATAGGAAATTCATCAAGATGCAACAAGTACTACGCTATAGTCATTAAGAGAAAAAGACGAATCTAATATATGCATACATAGAAAATAAATATCTTCATCACATTTTGAAGAGTATTTTCACTTTCAATTTTTATGATTGTTTTGAAATGTTTGTATATGGATGCAATGTATATTTTGAATGAGATTGTTGTAAATTTTCAATATTCACTGCAAAGTATCTTCCACTTGTATTGATTTATCCTTCACAACAAAAAAAAATAACATCCATCGACGACCATCCATTAGCATCGTCATCATTGTTTCCTTTTTTTGACATCCATTCGTTTCAGTCATAAATTCAATAATGGTAAAAAAATTACGATTCTTTAAGATCATCTTAGATGATGAAAATCTTCTATATTTTCCCGGTACATTTCTTACCGGTAAAGTTGTACTCGAATTGGATGAAGATATGCCAATCGTTGGTAAGTTTTGATTCATTGCTGAACTATAGTTTTTCATTTATTTCGTCATTATAAAAGGATTATTCTTTCACATAATCGGTGAATGTGTTGTGCGATTAGTCGGCGGCGGTGGTATCATTTCGGGTGATAAAGAGAATTATATTGATTTTCGAATGCGATTATTGGGAGATAATCTAACCAGAGTCGATACTCAAAGTACTTTGAATCTGAATGCATCGATGAGCCGTTTATTAGTATTATCGGCAGGCGTACATACATTCCCATTTCGATTGGGATTGCCATTAGGATTGCCATCGACATTCCTGGGCAAACATGGATGGGTACAATATTTTTGTAAAGCTGAATTAAGAGATCCAAATGGAATGGTACATAAAAATCATCAAGTATTCATCATAATGAATCCTATCGATTTGAATCAAGAACCAACAGTATTGACACAACCATTTCATAGTGAAGTCGAAGAAAAGCTAGGATTTCTTTGCTTTACTAATGGAAAAATCATCTGCATGGTACGATTAGATCGTGGCGGTTATGTTCCCGGTGAAAGTATCTCAATAAATGCCAATATTAATAACAATAGTTCAACAAAGATTCGAAAAACTTGTGCCATTCTTACGGAGGTAATATTAACACAACTGTAAATACAATCTTTTAATTAATTAATTAATTTGTCCACTTCCCATGAATAGACCGTCCAATATACGTCAAAAAATCGAATTATTCAAAGCGAAGTTCGTGAACTAGCTTCGGTTGAAAGGGGTAAAATCGAACCAAATTCCAGCGATCAATGGAAAAATGAATTATTATACATACCACCAATACCTCCGACTAATCTTCGAGGATGTAACCTGATTCGAATTCAATACGATGTTTATGTAAGTTTTTGCTTTGAAACCGATTTTATTCGTGAATCAATTAGGCCTGACTATTTTCTTATCTATAGTTTATGGTGGTTCCAAAAGGAACGCGCAAGACAATTAAACTTCAATTACCGATATTGATGGCCACATACCCATTACGAAATTCAGATGGAACATTACAACGTAAAAAAGGAACCTATTATCCATCAACATTACCAATGTCCAGATCATGGTTAAATTCTGATACCAAAATTCGATCAAAATAAACAACTGATCGATAAAAAATTATCACCAAGTGATTGTTCAAATTATTATTATTATTATTATTGTTACTAATATTTTATTTAATTCAAAATGAAAATTTAAAACTTTATAAAAACAAGACAAGATAAAATTTTTAATTATTCAGTAATTGATTTGAGCATCGAATCATCTATCGTTGACAGCTCTTCCTCGTTGATCGAATCATTCATTTCAATGGAATCCTGTTTCATCATTTCCTCTTCATCATCGTTCCCGTTTGATTGAGTTTGTTGTACTGGATTATTAACAGCTCGACGTGCAGCAAGAAAAAATTGATTTGGATGATAAACCGATTGATCAGGAAGATCTTGTCCAAATTTTACAGAAAAATATTTAGCACAAGCTCCTGTATAACTTTTTTCAGCCATTACTTTTTGTACGATTTCTTCCAGATCATTATCATTATTTACACCGTAACGGACTAATAGTGCCTTCAAATTTTTTACATCAAAATGTCGAAACGGACATCCATGTGTATCGTTAGGACCGGGTGCATTTTCATTCATAATTTTCTGACAACTATATGCACTCAATTGTACACGTTTACCCGCTTTTCCATAGATATAACGTATCGTATAGGAATATTCTTTTTGAAATTTTTCCGGATTCTTTATAGACAGCTCGTTACGAAAAAATTCCATCGAATCATCCATTGATAGACCTGCTGCTTTCAAAAATAAACCATAATAAAGACGACCATAATGTTTAAGATGATGATCACGTCGTAATGAATCATGAATTGAACGCATACAAGGTGGGAACATATTACGAGCTAATTCATCAATCTCATTCAAATTGATACGTTCTCGGTTATTTTCTTTATCATCTTGGCTGCTATTATTTCGATTCGATGATTTAGCATTGGATATATAATGTTGATGTAATGATTCTAAACGCCAAAGTAATCGCTCTTCACCAAAAGAATAGAAATATGAATGCATTCGCGTTAATTCTCTGGCTAAATTTGTTTTGAAACGTTGACAGAGAACGGAAATAATTTCACTTGATCCAATATAAGCAAAGCCATCGTTGACATAAACTTTACGTAATCGTATCAAATCTAATGCTTCTTCAAATTTCAATTTAAATGCAATCTGTTGTTGATTCTGACGATTGTATTCACCCCAATTAACTTTACTATGCAAATCCAGATTGTTGGCCGTTGAAACAATTTCAAATTTATAACCATAGTAAAGTAAACATTCTTCTAATGAAGAAGCATTCGATAAACTAGAATCAATAAATCGAATTTTGAATAATTCAGTTTCTCTTGATATAAACCAACGACGAAGCTCTTCGTTTTGACAATAGTAAATCCGCAAAAGAAAATGCGAAATGTGATCACGCTTACGAGCTTCAAACGATTTGCCAGTTGATTCACTACGACCGGCAGTGTAGAAATTTTTTTCATTATTTTCACATTTGATGCTATTGATTTGTGACCTCACTACATCATAAAAACCACGAGCTTTTTCCGCATTACGCATTAGATTATCAATGACTGCAAGAATTTTCAGCCGTTCGGAGACCATATCTTCGATTTCTTGTAATGAAACTTTAAAATCAGGTGGTGTAGTATAGAAATTAATCCAATATGGATATGGATTTGATGATTTTTGACCACCATTTTCCTCCAATAATCTTAAACGTTTATTTCGATGTTCGAATTGCATTATTGAGAATATAATTTGGCTTTAATTATTTAACTGAAGTTTAGGCGCCAAAACTCAATGTTTATGGAAAAGTTTCGCCATTCAACACTGAAAAAAAGAAATTTCCCGAAAAGATATTGAAAATTCGAATTTTTTTATTTTACAGACAAAAACAACAATTTACACACATTTTATCAAATTAAGCTTGATCATCTTTTGGTTTAACTGTACAAAGTTCACAATCTAATTCAATTTCTGTCATTTTGGATAACCAAATTGATTGTATATTTGATATACGATCCATAGGTCCTTTCACTTCGATTGCTTTGAATTTTTCTGTATCTCTATTCCACATGATCAAATCAGGAAAACCTTTTCGAAGATGACGATAATTTGTAGCCAACATTTGCAAAATTTTTGCCAATTTTTCTGCGGTCATACAATAAGCGATATCCTTGAAAAAAAATTTAAATGGGCGAATTATTGGCAAATAAAAATACTTACATGCAAATTATTCTCAGCAATATATTCGATGTCGATAGGATATTCGGTATTTATTGCTTTAATTATATTAGATGCGATTTCGTCTCGTGACCATCTAGAAATTTCATCAATTCGGTCATCGATCAAAGATTTACGTTGCTGATAGAATGAATCATAACATAAATCCAATGGAACTCTTTGTCCATTATAACGAAAAGTATCAGGAATGTTGGTGGAGAATAGAATGTCACATAACAATAATTCGAATAACAAATGATACACTTTAGATTCACAATGAATACCATTTGTATAACCTTCATTTAGGTAATGACGACGAACAACTTCTTCGACCGATATCATCTCTACATCACCATTTTTATGATTTGCAACAAAGAAATTCTTCCTATCCGTTTCATTTTCAATATGACGATATGAGGCAACAATAGTACGTTTTTTGTATAAATTTTGTTTATGATATTCTGGACAAAGGTCTGAAAGATTTTCGTTACTTTGTTTTTTCAGTTTTAACAATCGGTTGTATAGTTCAAGACGATGATCATAACGAACAGATGGATCGCTCAATCCATTCATGCAAAATTTTTCGGCTAGTTCTGGATTTTTCAAATAATTTTGACTGATCAAAGATGCTCGAATATACCAATGTGGTCTATATCGTAAACCGTAAATATCTTGTCCAAGTAACTTCAACACATTGGCAACAAATATTAAATGCAATCGATTCTTGTCAAATGACGTTAAACATTGATGTAAACATCGAATATACATTCCAGTTGCTGTGAAAGGTCGCAAGAATTCTGCCAATTGAGAATCTTTATCCGACCATTTAATCATAGAAATATCATATTGTTCCGAAATAAATGGAAAAAGGCGATTTATGACTTCGTCGAAACGTTTTTGATTGTTCAATACGACAATTTCACAATATATAGTAAACGCTTTGACAAATTCTGAAAATTCATCACGATCACAGTAAATATTGGCTTCTAATTGTTTAGATACAAGATTAATTTTCTTATCAACATAATAATCACCCAATGCACGTCGATACCAATGATCTTCATTATTATCTTCGAAAATTTCCAACAAATCATTAGGTGAATGATATAGTAAAAATATTCGATCTAATATTTCGGATTTGGTTTCATTGATTCGGATACATTTATCTTGGCAAAAATTTCGAAGTCTTTGCAATACCTGTTCTTGAATCGTTTTACTAGTCATGCACACCGATCTTGTCGTACGTATATAATGAAGAAATGCTTCAATTACTTTTGATTTTTGTGTCGATTTAGGCATCTTAAAACCATTGTATTTTTTCAGGAAATTTTTAATCTCCGGAAATGTTAGCGCTGAAAAGCCATCTTCAATTGATTTTAAACTTGTGTCTAATTACAAAACAAAACAAAAAATTATTTAATTCAGAATGGTAATATTGTCATTCATGATAAGCTTACGATCAAGTAGGAAACCCGATTTAAGTAGGATTTCTAATTGGTTTGAATGGTCATTATTATTTTCTCCTTCAGCAAAAAGTTGTGGATATTTAATATTTGCAATTCTAATCCAATCATGTTTTCGCATATACAATCGTATGAATAATAATTGAATTGATCCATCCAAACTGGTCAGATCTTGAATTGTTTTCCAATCTTGTTCGTTGAATAAATGCTCATTTAATGGATTTTCCAATACTGTTTGAATAATATGTCGAAATTCGAGAAACATTTTTACAGAATTCGAATACAATTGCTGTTGTTCATTGTCGATTGTCATCGATTTCGGTTCGATCTTTTCACCATTAACATTAGTATCTATTTCATTAAAATCCTGATTGCTTTTATCATTAATATCTAGTTCTTCGAATAAAAATTGACATAAATTTTCGTTAAAATAGTTAATTTCTTGGATAGGATTTTCAACACTTTTCGATTCTTTAGTGGCCAAAATTTCTACATCCAATGGTCGTTTATTATTCTGATTTATAATATTAAGATTATTATCTGCAAGGAATTTTTTACTTTCATCACATTTATCATCATCATTGTTGTTTTTATCATTAACATTAATGTTGTCGGTATCATCAACGATTGTAATCACATCTAAATTTTTCGAATTTATCGATGAGATATTTGAATTTTTTACATTTTCATTAGTTTTTTTGAAAAAATCTAAAATTGTTTTTTGTTTTTTATTGCCCACTTTAGTTGTCATTATTATTTTCGTTTAATGGAAAGTTTGATTACAAAAAAATAAAAAATAAAAAAGAATTTGGCGGCAAACACCAACAATAATTGTTAGCAATATGCTCATCACACGATGAACAGACAATATCATAATTTGAAATTTCCAATGATAGATGGCATAACTTGGATAATAATGATTTACAAAATTCAAAATCAAAAATGTGTTATAAAACATGACAATTTTATGATAATCATATTATAAACCATAGATTATCTTTAATCTTATACATGCATGTTTCCTAACAACGATAATAAGATAACAGACATAATGATATATGGTTTCTTATGGTCACTGTCTGCATTATAAGATTATATGATTTTGATCTATTTCTTGCACCTAAAATAAACAAAACAATGATTTAGAGCTGTTTCATTTAGAGAATATTTACAACAACAACAACAACAATAATAACTGTATCCTGATTATGTGATTAATATTTGTTGTTTTGTATCATGTTTGCTTTGACATTCTTGGCATGAATTAAAATATATTTATTAAATTGTCATCTACATATCATCTTTTTTTCGAATAAAAAACAAAATGGTTATTTTTAGCCGAGCCAAAGAAAAAAAAAATCGAATCAAACACAGACAAAGAATTCATATTCAAATTTATTTTTGGATTTGACATCGATACTACTACCACTTTTGATGCTGTATGTCTTTTTTTTCATTTTTCTTATAATTATCATTTCTATTTATTTTGTCACTAATCATACAACGAACCATCAACAATGAAGGTCTATGCAACTGGTGTGGAAAAGGAATGAAATGGAAGGCGTTGGCAGTTGTTGTGAAAATAGTTGTTAAAAGAATATACAACCAACTACATCCACCAGATATTTACAACAACAAAAAAGAAAGAATCGTTATTTTATTTAGATATTCTTCGGAATTCTAATTTCAATACTAACATTTTAAATCATACGACCAAGCTAGAAAATATAATGATAATGATGATACAAAGATGACACCATAGATTTACTTTTGTTGTTGTTGTTGTTGTTGTTTTTGTTTATTAGTTTTCCGTAGTATGGCCGTATGAAAACATACATACTCATCTCTTTTGTTGATTTTTGCCATTGGTTTTGCGAAAACAACCAAATTTCTTCATAATTTATTTTTCCGTTTTGTTTGTTATTTGTTTTCGAATACAATTTAATTCTTTGTTTTGTCTCTCTATCTCTATTGATGTTTATTTAAAAAACTAAATCCGAATGATCCATAAGATAATGAAGAAAGCAATGGTTTGTCTATTTATAAATGTATTTGACAATTTATTTAATTATTTATTTTTTTCATCTATAAATCTTAGTCTTCTAAATCATCGACCGGATCGATGCATAAATCTAAATATAAAAAAATTGATGAGGGCCAATTAAGATGTGCATTCGAAATGTTCGATACGAATCATGATGGTAAATTAAATTCCGATGAAATGAAACATATGATGACAAGTATTGGTGTAGATGTATCGGATCGTATGTTGCAGAAAATATTTAAAGAAGCATCAAAAAGTGGTAGGTTTTTTTTAAGAAAAAAAATACGATAGCAAAATAAACAAATCTGATTATGTTTCGTAGGTGATCAATTAATTAGTGAACAGGATTTTCTTCATTGGTTTTCACGATTCAAAACACCTAAAGAAGATGATGCTGAAGCCGATTTTAAAGCAGCATTTTTAGTATTCGATAAAGATAAAAATGGTTATATAACACGTGATGAACTTAAATCAGCCATGTTAATGATGGATGAATCTATAACCGAAAGAGATTTAGATGAATTACTTAAAACAACTGATCATGATCGTGATGGTAAAATAAATTATGAAGAATTTATTAAAACATTACTATAGCAGTCTATATTATCATCTTCTTATATATAATATATAAACATTAATCAAAGATCTTTCATTTATGCATTACACCACATTTATTATCTCCATTATCATTCACATTAAAACATTTATAATTATTCACATTGATTTCCATAATTATTATTTATAAATATTTTTTATTATATCAATAATTTTTCAAATATAATAATCATATTAATAATAATGACAAAAAAATTATTTATTTATTCAATAATTAATGGAAGATTATTGTCCAACAAAGAAAAATTTAAAAAGAAAAAAAAATGAAAAATCAAAATATTATCATCATTTATAATCGGCAAAGAAAAAATTTTCATCAACAACAACAATCAGCCAAAAAATAAAAATAAAACAGCCGAAGAATATTTACATTATGTTCGACATTGAATCGAATCATCAGAATTGATGGTTCAATATGTGGGTGTTTTTATTTGTGTGTGTGCATGTTGGTGATTATTATTGTTAATGAACAAAGAACAGAAAAAAAACAAAATTCTTGTGTGTTTACAATGTGAATGTCGATGATAGATTTTTTTTTTCGTTTTTTTTGGTTATTGTAACAAAGAATATAAATGAATGAATGAATTGATGGATGAACAGAGAATTTGGGAAAAAAAAGACAAAGACCAAAAATGGATCATCAAAAACAGAGAGAGAGAGAGAGAGAGAGAGAGAGAGCGATAGAAACAAACAAAACCAAACAAACAAACAAACGAAAATAAAATAGACAAATAAAAACGATGAACAATCATCATATATTTGTATCATCACCATCATCATCAAAACACAAAGTTATGGACATTCACCATTCACAAAATGAAAATTGAAATGATTAATTAGTCGGGGGAAAGGGGGAAGCAACCCCATAGCGTGAAAAAAAAACACTGAGGGATATATTTTTTTTCCAATTCATTTTTTTTCAATTTGTGGATGATGTTCCACAGAATGGATGATCATGGTGATGATGATGATGATGATGTGAAAGAATTGTATTCTGGATAATTAAGTTCAATGAAGTGAATAGTAATATGTGTGTGTATGGTAGTTTACGATGATTGATGATGATTATGAAAAAAAAAGAATTGAACAATGCCAATGATGATTATGATGACACAGGAATGATGATGATGATGATGATGATGAACTTGACTTTTGACAATAAATTGTGTTCATTATGTAAACTAGAAATTTTATTTTAATTCTATTTATCTTTTCAAACTGCTTAACTAAGATGAAGGAACCATTCGATTATTATTATTACAAGGTGTATAATCGACACAAAATTGTCGTTCAACAGTGGCACCACATGTTGGCCGTCCCGGATCAGGATATTGTGTTATATTACGATAACGATGTTTTAATCCATTACCGGTATCACAATGAGCTTCACAGGAACTCCATTCACTCCATTCGCTCATTGCACATTCTATAACAAAATAAAGATCAAGAGATCAAGAAAAGAAGAAAAAGAGAAAAAAAACCGCGGGAAATTGTTGTTTATATATAGAGATAATTTGTTATATAATATATTGAACAGGATCTTTTGTCTTTTTCATAAAGGTTAGTTAGTATGGCTGTGGATAATCCTGAGTATTTTTTGGCCTTGATTGTTGTTGTTGTTGTTGTTGCGTTGATGATGATGTTTGATGATGATAGCCATATGGTTGTTGTTGATGATGATGATGGTGATGATGATAATTATGGCCATTCTTTTTTTGTTGATAATTATTTCGGCTATCCGAAACTATTATCATATCACATAATGTAAGCATTTTTTGGATGATTGTAAAACAAAAACAATGAAAAAAAATGGAAAAAAAAGCCAAGAAGCAAAAAGCAATAATTTGAATGAATCAATTTTTTTCCCATAAAAATCAGAATCTTCAAAGATAATTTCTAAAATGTTTCACTTACCACATGGTGGATTTTCTTTACATTTTCGTCGTTGTACTAATTTTGGACATTTACGGCCACCATTCTGTGGATTTAATTTGATTTCACGACGACGTTCTTTTCTTGCTTTACCACATGGTTTTGTACATTGACTCCATTCGGACCATAATGTAACCTATTTTTGGGTAAAAATGATTATTTTTCAAGATAACAAAACCAAACAAAACAAAACAAAAAAAAATGTTCATTCTAAATCTTTTGATTAAAACTTACAACACAATCGATAACTAAATTCTGATCATCACCGATCAATGGTGATGTCATCGAATGATTATATTGATTATACATTTGATTGGAATTTGGTCGTATATTTTCATCAATCATTCCTTTTATCCCAAAACATATGATAATTTTAGAGAAAGAATGTTTGATTATTGCTTTTTCGGAAATATTATATTCAATAATAATAATAATACCTTTGAAATGATTTTCACATTTTTCTTTACAATCTTGTAAACGATCAAAATTATTATGATTACCTCGACAGCCACGATATATGAACTGTAAACAGGCACCTTTACTTGAATCATAATAATAACGAGGAAAATATCCACGACAAGGGCCTACTTCTTTGGGTAATGAACATACATCTGTTGTGGACAACATTAGAATTAAATAAATTGAAAGAAAACAAGGAAAAATATCATAAGAATAGAAAATTCATGTTAAGAATTCAAAAAGAAATTAAAACAGTGTAATTGTATGATGTTTGTGTCTTGGTCTTATTGTGATCCTAATTCATTTTGGCATCCTTAAAATGAGAAAAAATTTTCATGTTCAAAACATTTCTTCTTTGGTACACAAAACGAAAAAAAAATCTTATATTACTCAAAATTTTATCTACTATGATACAGTTCTTGTTGTTGTTGAAGAAAGAAAAAAAATTTCAAATTGTAACAAAACTTACGTTGCGCATCATTATTAAGCGTCATACAAGCTTTGTTGAAACAGTCGATTGATTGAATCAATTTAACATTGCAAACATTTTTCGATTTATAAGCATTAATATATAATCGATTACGATATTTGATGCCTTTACCACATTCCACTGAACATGGTGTCCATTCGGACCAGTTGGTCACTGCACAATGTGGTTCAATTATTTCTTGATCATAATTATTATGGCCAGTTGATGATCCGGTTAAAGTTGTTGATAATGACGATGATGATGATGATGATTGATGTTGATTTTGATGACCACAATTAGATGAAGTTCCAACACAAGATTCACGTTGTTCAAGTTCAACATTATGGCATAAACTTCTAGCTAAACGATGTAAAAATTTTCGATTTCTTTTCCGGTATCCACGACCACATGTAACATTACACGATGTCCATTCAGACCAGGCCGTAGTTTCACAACTAACGTTATTCACACATTTAGCTCCACATTCTTCCGTCTCAATTAGTTTCATATTACAGCCAACTTCTTTAGCTCGTTTTTCATTCATATAATTTCTAGTTCGTTTACGTATTCCATGGCCACATGCAACTGAGCAAGGGCCGAATACAGTCCATTCGGTCACTGAACAATCAGCAGCTAAAAATATAATAGAGATAAAAGAATGAAGCCAATTAGTCTACAGTAAAAACATCTGACTCATCAAAATTCAGACTAAATTAGATTATCTATCATCATCAACTTACATCGATTATCATCATCATCAAAATCAGATATGCTAAAACGGTTATCATCATCACCACAAACTTTTTCATAAATTCGTTGCCTTGAAATGGTTAGCCGTGCGAATGGTTTCATTGGTGCACCACTTGGATCATAAAATGGTGATTCGGGTAAATTAGGCGATGTTGATGTAATACGACGAATCCGTTCCTGTGGTATGGTTGGTAGATCACGTGATAAATAAGTAACACCAGAATCAGTGCCAGCATCCCAAAGATATAAATTGATACTTTTATCGGCAACCCAAGAGCAATTTTTCAGACACAATTCTAATGCACTAACTCCAATAAACCAATCTGGACTGGGACCAAGCATCGATAATAATGACATTAAATGATGGCGATTATCCACACGAAATACGGCAAATGTTTTTCCATTTAAATTCGGATACCAAAGACCACGTGCTTTAATTATGGTACGGATTTTACTTGATTCTGCTTTTAATTCTGATTCAAGTTTTTTAGTTATACCGGATTCGGCTACTTGCTTAACACCTTCACTAGCATAACCACCATATTCCCAAATACGAAAATCTGATGAATGACTAGCACCAATTATATCGGAAAAATGTGTCTGCCATGCATTAGCTGGAAAATCTTTTGGATGTGTATATTTAGACCAATAACCTTCAAATGTAACTTCATATTTAGCCTCATCGCATGCACAACATTCATCAACAATTTCCGATTCAGCATCGGCTATCGTATCGGCTTCTTCTTCACAAAGCACTTTAGTTAGGCCACCATCTTCATGATACCATTTGTCTTTACTTTCAGCTACGATTGCTCTATTTTTTAGTTTATATATAAATCAATGATAAAAAAAGAGAGAGAAAGAAAAGTGTATGGAATATATAATTAATTATCGGGATCGAATATGAAGAAAAAAAAAGAAAAAGAAAACGACAATCATACTTGAATACAATGCATCCAGAACCTTGTTGTGGTGCAAGCCACATTACGCTTATTTCATTTTTCGGCACTGGCGATGTATGCGTAACAGCATTTGGACAATCTTTAGATAATTTTACCAATGAATCGGTGTACACTTGAGGCTTTTTTTTGGAGAGAGAGAGAAAAAAAAGTAAATATAAAATGAAACAACATAATGATAATGAAAACTTTCAGGAAAAGTAGTGTTGAAAAAAAATTAGTTAAACAGAAAAAAATATAATTAAATACAACAAAATTCTATTTCAATTTGTAACTTCTTCATAACGATTTTTTTTCTAACACAACCTATATAGAATTAATTATTCAACTTTTTTTAAATATAAACATTAGAGGATCATTATGAAGCTTCATCATTATCATCATCATCATCATCATCGTTTGCAAGTTGCATACATCGTTTAATTTTTTTTCTATGCAATTTAACATTTTTGGGTAATTCATCTGTATGAGTAAATGTTTTTTTTTGGTTCCAAAACGCATTCTGTTATGAAAGATAATTTGTCAAAAAAAAATTGAAGGGAAACACAACAACAACAACAATATGGCTCCCATTTGGACAATTGTCTAAACATTTCATAAGAATTTACCTGAAAACTACCAACATCGAATAATGATCGTTGTTGTGTTGATGTTAATGATGGTGATACAGATGATGATGATGATAATGATGGCGATGATTGTGATGATAAAAAATCTTTAGGAACAACATATAAAACAAATTCGGTAAATCTTTGACTATTTCCACCGGATGATGTTGATGACGATGATGATGATGGGTGGCCATAGACCATTGAACCACCTGGACCAGAATATTTAGATAGACGATTTTGATCACCTTGTAATACGACTATGTATGGAAATCGAATAGAAAAAAAAATATGAAATTAGTAAATGAAAAAATTTCAATTCTTTCAAAGAATAAAATTGATTGATGAAAAATGTAAATGAGATGTTAATGAATGAATTACTTCGAATAAGTTTTAGTTAAGATGATGATGATGATGAAGAAATTCTCTATGTTCATTTGAAACTATTAATGACATTGTGAAATTTTTTTTCTCACCACTATGTTACTTATTTCCTTCTTTAGCTGAATATCTTTTTTTTGCACTGATTATCTTCAATTACAAATTGATATAATTAGCCATTAATTCTTTCAAAAAATAACTGTGGATAATAATTATGGAATGAAAAAGTTTTCTTTTACTTTTTCTTTTCTTTTTGCTATTTCCACTTTTTATTGGTTTTTCTTTTTTCGTTTGTTTGTTTGTTTGTTTATTTGTAAGATGAATTTTCCATTGAAAAGTTTGAAGATTCGTTTGAATTTAAAGAAATAAATAATGTGAAAACGAGTAATAAGAGAAGAAAAATACGGGTCAAATCACAACCAATTAATGTTTAGAAAGAAAGTAATTTATTTTTCTTGAGAAATTGATGGTTATAGAGGCGAGCAGAATGAACCGGGGGGGAAAAAAGACTATCCCAAAATCAATTGCCAAAAAAAACGATAAGAAAATTGTCTGAAAAAAATAATAATTTTTATATTTTCAAACATAAAAATTAAAATTGATCGATTCGAAATGAAAATTATCAACCATTTATATGTCCATCATCAAATTATCATCGAATAAAGTGAGAATTTTCCTGGAAAAAAAATATAGTGATAGTGAAAAAAAATTTCCAATCAATTGGCACAAAAAAAGAAGATATTTCAGGAAAGAGTTTTTTTTCTATAATAACAAAAGATTCGAAAAAAAGCTGATAATGAAACAAATGAATTTTTTTTGAATAAAAAGAACAATTCATCATTATCATTAACTTTGAATTTTTTGAAAAGAATAAATTCTGTCATCAATGTCAATGTATGAAGTCATTTTTTTTTCTCTCGTTTTGTTTTTAAAAAAATTATTCTTATCTCATTTTTCTTTTCAGAACTTTTCTTCTCGAATAACTTTAATTGTCATCACTTAATTTAACATGATGATGATGATGATGAAAACCACAAAAATTCAAAAACGAAAGTTTTATCATTATAATCATCAATGAGGGCGGCATATATATGGAATATGTATTCAACATATTTTCATGTCATTATTATTATGATTATTGTTGTTATCGTTTGACATTATTAATCGCATTATAAATTATAATTTATTGAACGTGATCAATGATGAAAAAAAGAAAGAAGAAGAAAAAAAATTCTAACCCGATATACCGGAGAAAAAAAAAGAATGAGTGAATATTGAAGATAACGAAGATAACAACAACAACAACGACGACGACGACAACAACAACAGCAACAATCACAATCTAATTATCCGACCATGAACCAAACTAACGAGAAAAAAAAATGAAAATGCATCATCATCATCATCATCATCGATACATTGATGATGCATCAAATCATTTTTTTTTCTCTAAATGATTGAAATTTAATGATGGTAATTCTCGTGTATGGAACTTTGATGTTTCGAAATTTTTTTTTTTGGAACGATCATCATGGATTTCATTTTTTGTTTCGGATGTAGGAGGGAGTCAACAAAATCATTTTTATTTTCGGGAGAAAAAAAGACGACGACGATGATGATGATGATGATGATAATGAAATTCAATGCATTTAATTAATATACGCATATTAATATATACAGAATAAGAAAACGTTATTTTTTCAACTTCGAATATTTATATTCTGGATCATTGATTCTTTTTTTCCGGATTTCGTTTGCTTTCTTTTATTTGTAAGTAACGAATTTATTATTATTATTATTATCATTTCTTGATTGTTGTTGTTGTCGTCGTTTTTTAGTTATTAAACATTGTATATTTAATAGGATTCAGCGATTGATTGAAAATCATCAACAAACGAAATAGTGATTATTAGATTTGATGATTACAAGCAAAAAAAGAAAAACATTCGAAACAAGAATATGATTAAATGATGATGATCATCATCATCATTATCATTCTTCATTTGATGAATTGATGTAAATTTAGACGAAACAAAATGACTATTGGGATGATCAAAACATTTTTACCGAAATTCAAAACAAACGATGCTAATGATTTCAATGGACTGCTCTTTATTCGCTGTTTTATTTGATTCATTAATTCAACAACAACAGCAACAACAACAAAAATGAATTTAATTGAATTTCAAGTAGGATAACAACAAAAAAATTTACTTGTAAATTGATTTCTCTTTTTTTTGTTTGTCTAGGAAAAAACATTGCAATGAACAAGATGAATGAAATGATCAACAACAACAACAAGATCAATTACTGATTCAATTTGTTCATCATCAAATTGATGCTGATGACTAAATGAACGGAATTTTTTTTTCCTAATTTCCTTTTTTAATTAAGAAAATTCTACCGTTATTTGCGATATGATAGGTATTTGTTCTTGTTGTTTTTTTTTCTTCTCGTTTCACATTAATCAATTTATCATAGTTTTCATGTTGTTGTTGTTAATGTGATTTTAACAAAAATTTCTTTGAAAATTTTTTGTTGTTAAATTAAATTAAATTAATTAATGTTAATAACAACAAATTATCGTTATCATCGAAAAAGAGAAAAATTACTCTCTTGAGAATTTATTTTTACTTTTTTTAATATTTCCATCAAATTAAATCAATGGATTCTTTTCAATAAAAAAAATCGTATCGATAATAAAATCGTTTGAAATGATTTGAACGTAGAAAAAAAATTGCCTTTTATTTCTGCTGTTTATATCGAATTTCCCCTCCAAAAAAAAATTGCAATTAGATTGGAATAAATTAGTTTTTTTTTCTGTTTGAGTTCGAGGAAAAAAAATCTATCTAATTGTATTATGCAATATTTGATGCAAACAAACAAAAAAAAAATCGATGCCAATGAATTTGGCAATGATTACGGTGTGTGTGTACTTGTGATCTTGATATAGAAATAGGATTTTTTATTTTATTTTTTTTTTTTGTTGGTTGATTTTACTGGTTCAAATATTTTACAGTCAATTTAATTTCGAACATTAATTCCCTTTTGCTTTAGAATTTTTTTTTTTTTGAAATTTTCTTTCTCTCATATCATTTTGGTAATATTATTGGATCATCATAAGTTTCGAAATTATTCTTTGGTTGAATTCAAAGCGAGGAAAAAAAATTCTCGATCTCTTATTTTGTTTTCAAATGTTTTTTTTTTGTTCGTTCTATGTTCTTTGGTGATGACAAACTGACAATTATTGATGTGTCAAAGCGAAAAAGAGAGAGAGAATGGAAAAAATCTCGTCGATTAATGATGACAGAATTGGCTACAATGATTCCAAAAGAATATCATTGAAATATTTTCTTTTTCTTCTCTTTTTTTTTCAAATAAACAAACAGAACAAAACAGATTTGTTTGAATATAATGATAGAAAATCGATTTTATTACCATAATCATGACATTGAAATCAGACATTTTCATTAAAAGAAAAAAAAGGGTGAAAACAAATTTAAATTTCCAAAAAAAAAGACAACAACAACAACAAAACTTGTACAATTAATCAATAAAATCATTAAAACATTTCATTCATATATATCGAGAATCGAGAATAATTGCAAGACAAAAATCAAATGCAAAAGTTATTGAAGCACACATACACACAGCGAAAAAAAAAATGAAACAGCGAAAGAGAGAGAAAAAAAAGACGATACAAAAAAATAAAGATTCGCTTGAAACAATAGATGTAAATAACTGAATTGGATAATAATAATAATAATAATTGAATTGATTTTATCGATTAGCTTTTTTTCAGTGTTTTGTTCAAGTTGTTGTTGTTTTTGTTTTTGTTTTTTCATTCGCTGATCTTTCGATTTTCTTTTCTTTTTTTTACATTTCAATAAATAGATTATCTGTTATGATTGTTGTTGTTCTATATATAATCAATGGCCTGGTAATAATAATAGAATTCGCTATAAAATCTCATTGCGAAATATCATTTTTTGTCTCAATCGATTAACTATTATCGACAAAAAAAATGAAAGGGATCAATGAATTTTTTGTTGTTGTTTTTTTTTTGGTTGTAATCCTGTTGTGATTTAATTTGTTTTGATTAGATTTTGATCGAAACAAGTGAAAAAAACAACAACAACAATAATAATAATAATCGGCCAAAAAAAATCATCCCGGATAGAAAAAAATAATTAACTTACTTGTATACATTTCATTTGGAACATATTTATCCGGATTTGCCTGAATTTTTATACGAAATCCGTGTGGTTCATTATTTGGTTGTTGGTTTGTTATTAAAGCATCGATTTCATTTCTTGAACAGGCAATATAATCGGTAAAATGATTTTGATTAAAAAAATTATTATTATTATTATTATTTGCACCAACAACACCACTATTAGCTGTTGGTAGGCTATAATTATTAATTATATTTGAACTACTATAACCACCACCACCACCACTAAAACCCCCGCTATAATAGCTATGTTGTTGTTGTTGTTGATGATAATGATTATTATTATTATTATGATGATGATTCCATAATTGTGGTTCACAATTGGCCAACATAATAATACCATCGACAGGTATTATTATAATCATCATTATAATTATAATTAATTTTATTATTAATATTAAATAATTTAATATTTTATCATTTATATTTAAAATTGTTGAATTTGATCGATAATTTAATATTTTTGTTGTTGTTGTTGTTGATGATGGTGATGATATGATATGAATTGGATTACAATAAAGATGATTATTAAAATTTAAAAATTGATAATTTAATTTATTCATTGAAGAAGATGGTGATAATGATAATGATGATGGCAAACATTTTAGCCATCGTTGTAATGTTGTCGATGATAATGTTTTGATTAACATATTTAATTCGTATTTTGTCATGATGATGATAATGATGATTTAGATTGAGCAATTTAGAAGAAAAAATAAGATAAAATGATAAAGAATTACTAGGTGAGAAAAAAAATAACTAAATGATCACAATTGAATATGTAATGGAAGATCATTTGATACGAATGTGAGAAAAAGAAAAAAACAAAAACAAAATTCTAAACAATGTAAATCATGAATTTTCAACGAATTTTGAAGAATCACGACAATCAAATCACACTTAAAACACGTTAACAAGGTTGTATCATCATGTCAGATCATGATCATCTCATTTGATTTTGATTTGTTTTGTACTTGAATCATTTTTTTTTTCTCTTCTCTAGATTTGTGTGAGTGATATGAATTTTTTTTTCGTTAATTTTGCTGTTGATCACCAGATTATACCATTAATAATTATGCTATACATCTGACAACAATGATGATGATGATAATGATGATGATGATGATGATGATCTGTGAAGTTTTTTTTCTGGTGAAAATATTGCCAAAGTTTTTTCATTCATTCATTCATTCAATAAAATTCACCAAGTCAGTCATTAAAGTTGGCTAAAGAATTTTCTTTTTTTTTCGTTGAAAAAAATTTATTTAAAATTCTTTTTTGATGTGAGAGAGTGAGTGAGAGAATAGCAGAAATTCATACAGAATTTCACAGTGAAAGAAAAAAAAAGTTGATTATTCTGTGATGATGTTTTTTTTTCTCTGATTTGTATGAAATGGTTAGATTCTGTCTGTCTATCGCTGCTTATTCTTCTTCTTTTTGGCTGTGTATGTATGATGATGAACATCCAATTCCGAAATGAATCGTTCATCATCATCATCACAGAATGTGTGGAAAGAGAATATCAATGCAGAAGAAGAGTATAGTGAAGAGAGAGGAAAAAAACTGAAAAACCGACAACGATTATGACTATGATGATGACTACAACGACAACAAGTCAGCAACTACGGCGTCGCCGTTATCATCATCATTATTATCATTTTTTTTTGCATCTCTCAACATTGAGATTCCTGAATTCTTCAATGTGTGTTTGTATTTCGGATTCAGAAAAAAAAGCGGCGCCAAGAATAAATATGTATTGAAAAGAAACAAGAAAATCATTATAGTCATCATTTTCAATTCATCGATTTGTGGATTTTTTTTTCTTTGATCAGATCAAATTGATTAGATTTGGTTAGATTCTTAATTTACATTATTTTGATTTGTGAAAAAAAGTGGAAAATTCATTCTTACGTCCATCAATGATTTAAGCCAACAGAAAGAAAAGAAGAGATTTACAAAAAAAAATTTATGATTGAAATTTTTCGTTAAAAATTGAAAAAACCATTTTAATCAATTAGGTAAACATAGAGACGAGTGACATAATGCAAAGCGAGAATATTTATATAAGAATATAATGTGATTTGTTCGTGTTTTATCGCTGAAAAATTCATCAGGCTAAAATCACCAAGGATAATGATTGTTTGAATTCGAAAAAAAGAAGAAGAAGAATAAAGAATCTCGAGAGAGATGATGAAATTTTTTTAAAGAAAAATATTTCATTTTTCAAATATCCCTCACAAACAAACATCAAGCCAAACATCTTCGTCTTTATCATCATCATCATTAAATATTATGTTTGGTGGTTTGTTGGATGTTTTATCATCATCATCATTCGTGTGTGTTATTTAAATCACGTATTTAGTGTTATATATTCCGCCAACATATTTAATCGCCCGTTATATCATTTTTTTCAATTACGGAAACTATTTTTTTTCAATGGGAAAAAATCGCTGTTGTTGTTGTTGTTGTTGTTGTTGTTGTTCCAAAACACGTTCCAACAATTTATTTTTCTCCGATTCGACTATAATATAAAATTTTTGGCCATCAGGAAAAAAAATGAACTTGTTGTTTTTGTTTTTGTTGTTTTGTTGTTGTTGTTGTTGGTGATGGATTCGAATAATAATAAACTACAGCAACACGATTGAATTGAAAAACAAGAATGATATTGGCAAAACAACAACAACAGAAAATTCCTAATACAAAATTTTTTTTTCAAAAACAAATTTTTCATTAATTAAATTTAGAAGAAAATATCCACATAGTGATCCATATTTGACCTCACATACACACACACAACCTTACAAACTAGAAACTGAAAAACCAAAATCGATTGTTGGTTGTGAGGAAGAAAAAAAAATAAAACAATAACAATAAAAATGAAATTATTATTCTTTTATTTTTTTAAATAATGATAATGATGATTAATTATTTAAAATTTTAATCTAATTTTCTTGCCGGAATACCGCCTTTCCAGCTGTGATTGTTGTTGTTGTCGGCGATGGTTTTATTCTGTTCATGTTTTTATTCTATTATTTTTTTGAAACAACAAAAAAAAACGATAGAAAAAAAGGAGTTAATAATTGAAAAAAAACAACAAACAGAAAAATATCATTATTTGAAGAAAATATTCAAAGCACACACATAGCATTTGGATTCGAAGAAGGAAGAGAAAAAAAATTGTTCAAACAGACAAAATAACTGGACATCGATTCTATCGTTTGAAAAGAATCGATAGTCGATAATTTCCGTAACAATAAATATCAAATTATCATTTCGTTGCCAGATGTTAAAACAAAGTAGATTTTTTTTCTTGGTTTTCCTCAAAAACAAAAACAAAAACAAAATTATACGAACGGGTTATGCAAATGTTACACATAAAAGATCAACCTTGTAAGAAATAACGATATTGGAAAACAATTTGTCACTATTTTTTTTTGGTTTCTATTCACAATATATTCTGGAAAATACATAGTTGAACAATCTGGTTCTATGTTTTTTGTTTTCGAATCTGTTACGATATCAAACGAATAAGTATTTTTTCGGTAAAACTGTTGGCCAAATAACAACAACAAAAAATATTGAACAAAACTATCAGACACAAATGATACATCATATTTATGATTGTTATGCTTAAATGAATGTTGGATGTTTGTTTTTCTCGTTGTTTTCTTCCTGCTCCATGAAAAAAAACCTAAAGAGTTCCCAGGAGAGATTCTTGAGTTAGAAAGCGAAGAAAAAAAAATGATCAAATCGATGATGGGTACAAAATATATTATTCGATTTATGTTTATTGAAAAAAAAATTATTGGAATTCACTACTGATACTGTTGTTGTTGTTGTTGATGATGATGATGATGATGGCTAATTTGAAAACATTTTTCAAAAATTTTACATCCAAAACAAAACGGGAAACGAAAGAAAAGAAAAAATCATTGAAAAGTTAATGTTTCGTTACTGAATTTTATCGACGAAAAAACATTCAAAAAAAAATTGAATTCAAAAAAAAAACATTTGGATAGATTATTGATTGATTTAAATCAATAACATAAAGGTATTTCTGAAACTGTCAGGATTTTACAAAATTGATGATGATAATTTTTACAAAATGACTAAGTTATAAGAAACAGATATACATAACATAGAAGGGGAAGAAAATAATTTACAAAACATCAACCATAATGGATAAAATATATTTTCATAATCACATTAATTATTTGTCATGTAAAACATTGAGTGTGAGAATAAAAAAAAATCTATTTCCCAAATGAATAAAAATATATTCCAAAAAAAAAAAAAAAAAAATTCAAAACTTTTCCTCGAAACAAATGAGAAAAGCGAGAAAAAAAAAAAATTTCATTTTTACGTTTTGTTTATCAT